ACTCAGCGCGAGCATGATAGCGCGCATTCTTCTGGCCTCGAGGCCGCCGTTGAGTCTCGGGGTTCATTGCAAAAAATGATCGGTCATGAATTTGTTCTTGGGCGCGACGGGGCCGAGGTGACAGCGAGCCCCCCAGCCCCCCGGGCCAGCCTGAGGCGACTGGGCGAGAATATCAGCGAGATGTCCAGTTAGTCCCCGCGCCATCGGTCTCAAGTGGGGGCATGCACACACGGCCCGATCTGATGCTCGGCCTGCCATTTCGCCATCGCGCGCCTGCCGTGCAGGGAGCGAACGCATTCTGAGAGTCCGCAGCGAGTTCGAGTCGTGGGCGGGGGCGGCAGGGAGGATTGACTGTCGCGCGCCATCATCCTCAGTGCCAGGAAGATGAGGATGTTACCCAGGGCGATCGCATTCGCGAGGTCCCCAGCTTTCTTCCTCGCGGCAACGCGAGCCCCCCGCTGCGGACAAGTATGCCGGCTGGTGGGCCAGAGTGCACGCGGCGCCCCAGGGGGCTATCCGTCGCGGGAAGAACGCGGGCGGGGGGGCGCTCGGTGGTCTTGATCGCATTAGCTTTGTAGTTGGCGCGAGACACACCTCCGCAGGCGCGTCAGTTTGCATGGCCGAGCACGACGGCGCCGTCGTGGCCAGAGTGGCAGCACTATCTTCACAATATAGGAATTCTCAAGTTGGGTCGTCTGGACCAGCTGGATTCAGGAGCTGTCTGGGAGGGCCCATGGGAAGCCTGCCGGGCCAGGTCTCAGGATTTGATTGTGGGCGCTACCACGCGCCTTCCGGGCTTTGGGGAAGAATTCAGGAGCGGCCTCAGCATGAGGAGAGGGGCTTCGTTTCACGAGGAGTTGTTTCGCAATCCCACAGAAGGTTGTGCCATCAGTTTCGGGCGCAGGGGCCCGCGTCAGAGTCGGCGGCGAAGGATGCGCGTCCGACTGCATTTTCGACGCGAGGCAGCGTGAGTTCACCGCTGAAGAAGTCCGCGCGGCAGCACGCAGCATGAAACCAAGGACTGCCATTGTCGCTGATGTCCCCGCGCCCGTCGATGTTGCGAGCTTGCAAGATCAGGTTTTCAGGGTGCATGCGACATGTTGACCTCATGCGAGCCATGCCGCGCATGTCCATGGTAGCTTCTTTTGGTTCTTGGCAAATCGATTGATTGGCCGAGAAGCATGGATGTGGTCGAGGCCGCACGGCTGACCGGGCCAGATGTCGCATGATGAGCTTGCCAGGGTGTCGGTTTCTGCAGCAGCAGGCGTTGGGTGCGGCCCCAGCCCGGGGCGCTGCTGTCCACGACAGCACGGCCTTGCGCGAAATGAGTCTCAGAGTGTTCGGTGGAACGAGTGATCGCACAAATAGCGTGTGTTGCTCCTGGGCCATTGGCGATAATGGAAGATTCCATGGTGTCATCAAGTGGCCTAACTTGGCCACGGCTGCCCGTCGGCCTGGGTTCCCTCCGCCACTCTGGCGTTGGAGCTCCAGCTTTGCGCGGCACAAAGGGTTCTTTCTGTTTGGCGCTTGAAGTTGCTCAATCGATTCTTCAGGGACTTGGGAAAAGGCGCCGTCGTCGCGCGGTGCCTCGCTGCCATCGCCCCTGCTCGCGCGACAAGGGCACGTCGGGCGGCAGCTGGAAGGACATTGGTCCAGGACCTTGCAATTTGAGGGCGTTGGGTCGGCAAGGGCGGCGGCGGGCGACGCGGCGCTCAAAGTCACCGCCCTCTAAGATTTGCTGGAGGGTCGAGGGCTCCAACTTGCGTCTGGGCTTCGAAGTCGCGCAGTCGATCTCAAGCCTCTTCTGCGGGCGCCACACCTGGGCGCCGACGAGGCGGCCGGGGGGGGCGGGCGAGGGGCGCCGGGAAGCAGGGCGTCGCGAAGGGAAATCGGCAGAAAGTACAGTTACACAAGTTGTCCCGTGCATCGTGCGCCTGCGTGGCCACGCCGACCCTGGGGCACGTGGGCCCGCGGGCGTTTTCCTGAGGCGGGATGGGCGTTGTCGGTGTTCCAGCATCCGATGTGGGATCGGCGAGGCGACGTTCGAAGGCGGTTCTTGGACCTGGGAAGCGGGGGAAGTGCATGGTTAGCTGGCTCGGCATTCGCGCTCCGGGCCAAGGTCCAGAGATATTGTTTCTTTTAATGCGTGTTCGTGCTTGGCCAGCTAGACTGCGAGATGCGTTTTCCGCGCATCCATGCCAGAGTTGCCCAGGAGGGAGATGGCCCAGCTCATTTTCAAGATCTTGGCAGTCGATGGGGGGGGGGGGGGGCATAATTTCCGTGAGCCCATCATAGCAGACGCAGGTTGGGGCCCCGTGGGTCCGACTGGCGCGCCAGGCCCCTAATCTGATTCGGGCCTCCATGATTGGCAGTGCAAGTTTCCGATGGATGCCCGGGTCAGCGACGGCGAGATGAAGGGCCCCCCTGGACGATCGCTGCTCGCGCACGCGTTGGCGGCGGCGGGGGCGCGTGGGGGGGGGGGCGAGAGACATTTTACGGGTCTGGTTTGACTGGTGAAGTTTACATATTTTTTTCTCCGCGTTCCAATTCGCCGCCTGACTGGGCCGCGCCGTGGTCAGCAACTAGCAGGGGCGAGGGTCGCGATGTTTTTTTTTGGTTTGGGGGCAGGCGCTGAGCGGGAGGGGGGGGGGGGGGGTCCAAGCGGGGCCCGCTCATTGGCAACGCCAGCAGGCGATGCTTGCTTGCGAGAAGGCCCCGTTTCCAGAGACTGCCGCGGACGGGCGCTGGGCGCGCCCGGGGACCACAGGGCGCAAAGCTCGCGCGCATTCAGACACCTGCGAGCGATGTCCTGACATGAGGGGGGGAGCTTTTGCGCTTGCGACTGGCAGAGGGGCCACGCCCAGTCGGCGTGGGCGGAGGGCCCCGAGCCCCCGCGAGTCGAGCAGTGGTTTTGCACGAATCGATGCAATCTGCGTCTTGTTCCTGGGGCCCCGGGGGGAGATGTTGAGGCTTGTCCTCTGATGGTCCTCGGGGGCGCTTCTGGAGGCAGGGGCAGCGGGGATGTGCGGTGATGGAGGGTTGCTCTGGCGGTGTTCGATGCTTCTTGCGCTGGTCCGTTCGCGGCGGGGCCCGCCACCGCTGGCCCGCTGGCAGGCCGGGCTCAGACAGGTCTCAGCGGAGAGCTGGCGGGACTGCAGCTTGGTATCGAGGAGCATCGCATCGGACACGTTGCTCATGTGCTTCGGGCAATGATGAGGTTGCCAGAGGCTGGTTTCATAGAGTGCACGATGAGATGGAGTCCGTCCGGCGCGAAATCGCAGGGGCTCTGCAGACTCGAGATGGCCGACTGTCAGTTGCGAAGGTCAGTTCCCGTATCGAGGTGCGCGGCATAGTGAGGAGTTATTTTCCCATCTGTATATGGAAGCGTTGTTTCCAACGGGTAGGCGCAGAAGGCTGCTGGTTTCAGATGGAACAGGCTCGGGTTCCATACTCTCATCGTTTCAGGGCAAGCTGCGCTGAGCATCGTGTGTCGTGCGTTCGGAAGAGACTTCTGCGATGCACCATTTCGGACACCACGGCGGGCCGAGAGATGCGGAGGAAGGAAAACTGTACGAACGCGCTTTTGCCGTTGCTGCTGCCCCTGCCCTTCCCCGTCTTCCCGCCCCGCGCGTGCGTGCCACTTTTTCCTCCCGTGCGCCAGCTTGGCGGGGACTGGCCCAGCCGCGTCCGTTGCCAAGGATCGGCGCTCGCGGGCGCTAGGCCCCGCTCAGACCTGCAGGAACAGTCAGGTTGTGGCGCAAGCTTCAGGCCCAGACCGCTTCAGGATGTTCAGGTCCATGTCGTGGGGGGCGGTCAGTCCCATAGTATGTTTGTCGTGTTTCTCTTCTGGGTCCAATGCTTGGGTTTGCAAATGCTGCGTCTTTTTTCGGGCGTAAGGTGCTCAGAGAATAGAGCAAGAAACGTCTTGAAAGCCTGGGCCGTTCCAGCCGGGGCCCCAGGTCCAAACGATTAGCAGACGGCCGGTAGTTCCTAACCTATATATATATATATATATATACATACATACATATACACGCACGACACCGCCATCGGTCCCATTCCATCCCTCCTCCTCGCTCCTGTTCGCACTGCTTTTTCTCGCTCCTCCTCCTCCTCCTCCTCCTCCTCCTCCTCCTCTTTCCTCCTCCTTCCTCCTCCTTGCGTCTCCTCGCTCCCCAGCCCTCCTCCTTGCTTATCCTCCTCTTGCGTCTTCTCCTCGTTTGCGTCGTCTTCCTATTTGTTTTCCTCCCCCTCCTCCCTCCTCCTCGCCCCCCCCTGCTTCTCCTCCCCCCCACTTCCCTTGGGAGGAGGAAGAGGAACAACGGGGCGAGGAGGAGAACGGGGAGGTGGAGGAGAAGGCGGAGGAAAAGGAGGAGCAGGAGGAGGAGGAGGACGACGAGGAGGAGGAGGAGGAGGAGGAGGACGAGGATGGGAGGAGGAAGAGGACGAGGAGTTGGAGGAGAATGGGGAGGAGGAGGAAGAGGAGAGGAAGGAGGAGTGGAAGGAGGAGGATGAGGAGGAGGAGGGAAACCATTGGCGCTACAGTGCATCCAACGTAGGAGGACGAGGGGGACGAGGTAGACGATAACGAAAATGACGAGACAGTGAAAGACGAGAAGAACGCGGAGGAGGAGGATGAGGAGGCGAACGAGGAGGAGGAGGCAGAGGTGCATGAGGAGGACGGGGAGATGGAGGAGGAGGTGCAGCAGGAGGAGGAGGAGGAGGAGGAAGATGAGGAGGAGGAGGAGGAGGAGGAGGAGGAGTAACAACGAGGAAAGGAGTAGGAGAAGGAGGAGGAAGAGGAGGAGGAGGAGGAGGATGACGGAAAGGACTAGGACGGCGAGGGGGACAAGGAGGAGGAGGAGAAGGAGGAGGAGGAACAAAAAGGAGGAAGGGGAGGAGCAGGACGATAAGGAGGAGATGAAGGAGATGGACGACGATGAGGATAGAAGGTCGCCATTCTCCCCCATGCCCCCCCCCCGCCATTTTTCCGCCGCGAGGGGCGGCTCGCGGCGCTCGGCGTCTCCGGCGCCTCCACCGTGGCCGCTTGGTGCCCCACGGGGGAGGGACTGGCACCAAGGGCGGGATCCGAGACATCGCGCCCCCCGTCGGTCTTTCCGACGGGAGCCAGAATGAGGACGAGGGGACGAAGACGACGATGTTATTCTGCAGACGCCCTCCCCGGGCGCAGTTTGTCGCCCTGGGCCAATCTTTGATGGCCCGGGGGCCCGAGGATTGGCCCCCGAGGCTGAAACCGAGAAATGAACGCCATTTGAAAAGCTGCGGCGGCGGCGGCGGCGGAGGAGGAGGAGGAGGAAGAGGAGGAGGAGGAGGAGGACGAGGAGGATGAGGAGGAGGAGGAGGACGAGGATGAGGAGAAGGAGAAGGATGATGATGAGGAGGAGGAGGAGGAGAAGGAGGGGAGTAGAAGGAGGAGGAGGAGGAGGAGGAGGAGGAGGAGCAGGAACAACGAGGAAAAGGTGGAAGGGGAAGAGTAGGAGGAGTAGTAGTAGGAGGAGGAGGAGGATCTATAACTCTAGCGACTGACCCGTCGGCGCCACCCGCCGACACTGCCTGTCACGCGCACGGCGTCGCCCTGCCTCGCTCTCGCGAAGCCCCTGCGAGCGCTGTGGCATCTCGGCGGTACTTTGAGGTCCGCGCCGGTGTCGGGCAGATTCGGGACAAGGCCACCCCATAGATCCTGGCGATGCATTGTTTCACTACATGTCGGGCCCTGGGACCCTCGCATATCGATCTGGCTTGAGAAAAAAACAGAAAGATAGGGTCTGGGGCTCGCCCCGGGCGGGCGACGCCGGCGTCAAGAGCGTTTCCCTCCCCCGCGCGCATCCACTCCGGCCTCGGAGCCGAGGAGGCCCCGCTGGTTCAGGCAACGTCCACCATGAAGGGGATGGGTCCTGAGGGAAACGGGTGCCTCGGGGGAAAAGGCCCGACTGGCTCACGCCATGCGTTCGGCCAAGTCTGGGGAATCGGAAGAGTCCCAAGCCCCCGTGCTCCCCGCTCACGTCGGCAGCGTCGAAGGGGGGTGGGGACTAGAGGGGGGATGTCGTGACCGGGGCCATGACGTCTCCCATGCAGTAGGCATGTCAATCAGAAACTGGCGTCTCAGCTATTGCCGCAGGGAAGATTCTTATTCCCCGATGGCCCTGGGATCGCCCGCAGAAGCCCCGGGGCAGCTCGGGGAGCGTATAGGCTCGACGACAAATGTCCCTGGGTTCCGATAGCACGATCTCTGACCATCCGCAAAATGAAAATGTGCCGAGGCCATCAGGCAGGCCCTGCCAGCGGACTGCAGAAAGGGGTGGGAGGGCCAGATCGCACCGTGTAGGCCGCCAGCGGCACAGGGGCCCGGCGAGACGACAGGCCGGCGCGAAGTGCACCGGCGAGAGGGGGCGAAGAACGGGCAAGAGAGCTTCGCCGGAGGAGGAGGAGGATCTGGGTGAGGAGGGAGGGCGGGTGAGGAGAGGGGGAGGGAGAGGCAGTGGATGCCGTTTTTTCCTCACCCTCTTCGGCGCTCCTGCCCTCGTCACCGCCGGGCGACGCCGCCAGCGCTGGCAGAGAGCCCCCCCGCGCGCTCCCCTCGAGGCTTTGGCCTCGGAGCGCCGCGGGGTCTCTGCTGCCGCCGGGCGGCGGGCTCGGCGGGCTCCATGGGCCCCGGGAGTGCCTGGAAGCGGCCAGGGCGAGGAGCGGAGGCCCCCTCCTTCCTCCTCCTCCTCCTCCTCCTGCTCCTCCTCCTGCTCCTCCTCCTCCTCCGCCTCCTCCTCCTGCTCCTCCTCCTCCTCCCTCCCTCCTCCTCCTCCTCCTCCTCCTCCCCTCCCTCCTCCTCCTCCTCCTCCTCCTCCTCCTCCTCCTCCTCCTCCTCCTCCCTCCTCGTCCTCCTCCTCCTCCGACCTAATCATGCACTAGCTCACGTCAACTGCTCCTCCTCTTTCTCCCCCCTCCTCTTCCTCCTCCTCCTCCTCCTCTTCCTCCTCCTCCTCCTCTTCCTCCTCCTCCTCCTCCTCCTCCTCTTCCTCCCAGGGTCCCGAGGCGTTCTGCCGCTCGCGGCCTCTGATTGGGGCCTCCACCGAAGAGGGGGAAGGGGCACCACCCCAGCAAGGCGCCCCAGTGGGAGCACGGGTGGGCTTAGCCGACGAGGGAGGCGGGTCGAGGAGTGGGAGGTCGGCTGAGCCGACGTGGGATTGCACGCTGGCGCTAGCCGACTCGGCGGGCGCAAACGTGCAGTCCTGGGTAACCTCGTAGTCCGAGGGATCCCTGGGAAACGCAAGACGTGCGAGAGTGTGTTCACTGTTGCGGCAGAAGCGTCCGCGGGAGAGGAGTTCTGGCAACACGAAGAGCGGCAGAGCGTGCTCTGTTGTGTGGGAATCCTACGCGGGTGTCGAGCTCTGGCGATACGAAGAGCAGGAATAATGCGGAGAACACGGCCATGCGCACCTTAGTGTGTGTGTGTTTTTACAAAGGATCGTGGCCGTCAGAACCACACGTGTGGCCGGCATCGAGGCGGGAGCACAATGCCCGAGACACTAACTTGCGAGGAGGTCTTGGGCGAAAGGCGAAACCGCTGTCGGACCGCTGCCAGCCCGGGCGGTCTCAGGCTTTCTCCGTGCTCCGTGCGGGGCCTTTCTCTGCTGCATGTTTGTCGCCGCTGCGAGAACCCGTTAGCAGGGCGCGGTTACGGAACAACCAGAAACCCTCGAAGGTCCGCACAGATTTCTCGGTTCGGCGCTGCCCCCCTCCCCCCCTCCAGGCCCAGGCGGCGCCTCCGGCGCCGTCCCTGACGCGCTCCGCGCGCCAGGGAGGGGAGTCCAGCGCTAATCCAAGAGAAGTCCCCGCGGTTTATGCACTTGGTTCGGAGCAGTTTGTTTTGCCCTCTACTTCTGTGATGTAACCGGTTTATGGTTCGGACCTCCGCCTCGGTCCTCGATTTTCGTTCCTCTGCAAGCACGACGCTGACATGAGGACCTCTTTGGGCCCAGCAGGTGCTCCGGTTTTCGGACCGCTAACCTGATAGAGGCCTATGGGCCCCATCTTGGCTGAGGCTAGCCGTGGCCAGAAGAGCCCCTTCATTCCCGATTCAGCGTTCCTTGTGATGATCCGCGGGCCCTGGGACTGCTTCAAAGCCTCCCATGGTGAAGAGCTGGTACTGGGGTGATCGGACACGCGCAGAGGGGAATCGAAGGAGAAGGGAAGGCTTCTTACAAACATCCCTTGCTTCTCAGAAGGCGCGGGCCATGCCTGCAGATGTGATCTAAGAAGCAGTCTCCCTCGAAGAAGCCTTCCCCCCTCTCCATACCCCGCTCTGCGCGCTGCCATGGTAAGGTCACGGGTCCAGGGTTTCTTGTATGGTAGCACGATGACGAGGGGGAGGAGGGGGAGGAGCAGCAGGAGGAGCAGGAGGAGGAGGAGGAGGAGGAGGAGGAAGAGGCAAGAAGAAGGCGTTGGGGCCCGGAGGCCCCCCAAGGCCACGCCGAGCGCGGTCACCATCTCCATATTGCAACCTGCTCCCCACTTTCATTGTTTCCTTCAGACCCGCGACATTCACTGTGCCCTTCAGGATTGCGACATCTGTTTCCTGGACTTCTTGTTCCTCGCCAACTTCGCAGTCGTTACCATACGCTCCCTGCCGCCGTCGATGTACATATAACCACATACGCAGACACATGCTTGGCTGTCTGCAGCTATTCGTGGTTCGGAGAGGACAAAAAAGCCCGCGCCCGCCCCCGCGCGCGCGCGTGTTCATACTGCATACTTTCTTTACCCAAAGCTTAACGGGATACACATATCCTTTTACACTCCACGATGTCCATTGACCCGCTAGCATGGACCCCAACAGTGAGAACGACCTTACTTGACGATGTTGGCCTGGTTGGGCCTAGGTTGGGTAAAGATGGATTATCAGCCGAAGGCTCTGGGCTATGGACAGTCGGCCATGTCGATAAAGAAGGGGCAAGTACGGATACATCCGTGAACGTGGAGAAGAAGACCGGATGGAAGACCAGCCCCAAAGGTGTGGAAATGTTTAAGGATCGAGTCGACGGACCGACAAAGTCGACCTCGCAACGCGTCCGAAGGACAAAAGCAACCACGTTGCAGAATATCAGCTCACCTGAGAGACCAATATCACCTGCAGAGGAGGATGACAAGGCCATTGAGAAGCTGATCAAGAAGAACCAATTCTCCAACATACGAACCCCGTCTCCAGCAGGTGAGCCATCGGGATATGATGATACCCCTGTCAACCGGGGGCGAGAGGACACCCCTGTTCCAGACGATGATATCGACGAAGAGGACGATTGGTATGGGGGAAAGCCCTGCCCGCGCAAAACGCTATTGGGGGACGTCGATCAGGCCTATGTCGTGAACGCCAGCTCGTCGGACGAGGATGACGAGACCGAGCACGCCGCCGCGCCGGTGAAGGCGATGACAATATCGAACTCGTCCGAGAAGAGTTTTGGATCGGCATCCGATCGGACCCCGGAGAAGCGAGGTACGGACTATGTCTGGAGAAAGGGGAAGTCACAGAGCCCGCGGGACAGTGTCGAACGTCAAAGGGACCTCGCGGCCTCGTCCGGGGGGTCTGGAATAGAGATTCGTCGCGGAAAACCCCCCAGGGACGACCCGGTGGACGTGAAACAATCCCCGCACGAAAAGCGCCCAAAGACCGAGCCTGGCGGCTCGAGTGGCCCAGAGGATCCCGAGCCAGCCCCTGATCTGAAACCCCGTGGAAGGCAGTTATTCGAGTCACCCGGCTCGATTTCCAGGAGGTCGAGGTCGGGAAGGGGCGGCCGAAGTCGCAACTCACGGGGGTCCATTCACGGGTCCTCTCTGTCCAGATCATCAACGTCTCGATTCTCAATTAGGGAGTCATGTGCGAATCACGGGCTGGCGTGCGAACCGGGCCCTGAGAGTCGGTGTCCGGGCAGGACTGCTGACGATCTACCATGTCAGAAGCCTGCGTGCCGGGGCTTTTCCGTCCAGTGTGGCTTGTGCAGTCTTGCGTATCTTTGCCAGGAATGTCTGACACCGAAGCAA